AACGATTTGTAATTCACATGTCCTAATCGACTATGCCACAAACATGAAGGTTCAAGCAAGTAAACGGAATTTATAGTTTTATTCATAATGACTTGTTTCGGTACAATTGTAAGAACGTTCAACTTGAACATTCCATCACACATGTATCATTTCCCTACATACATTTCATTCTTAGACAACACAAATTTATCGGATACAAATATAAGTTTAAAACCATTCTTGCTAAGTAGAGACCCAGACACTAAATTCTTTCGTATATCCGGCATATGTAGGACATTGTTGAGGACGAGTTCTTTCTCGGATGTCATCTTCAAAGTGACTTTGCCTTGTCCTTCAACTTTGAAACTTGCAGAACTTTCCATATATTGTTGTTCCCCATTCAATTTTTGATAGTTGGAGAACATCTCCTTGTCCGCACACACATGGCGGGTAGCGCCGGTGTCAATCCATCATTCTCTAATATTTCCAATCATGTTGCATTCGGATACTACTGCAAATAAACTCATTTCTTGCAGTCCATCGGATAGAGTGTTATTTGCAACCATGTGGGCTTGAGCATTCTTTTTTGGCTTTCGACATTTACTTAAACGATGTCCAGCCTTGCCATAGTTGTAACAATTCCCTTTGAACTTCTTAGCTATCTTGGAATTGTCTCTTCCCGGTGCATAATTAGGAGCCTTTTGTTTCTTGTTTGTTGCCTTTGGTTCCATTTCAACAAAATTTGCATCATCTTGATCAACCGGTCTTCGTTCGATTTTTCGATTGTCCTTCAATCCTCAAGCGCACAATCAATTCTTCCAAATTCATTTGCTTGCGTTTGTACTTGATGTAATTTTTAAAATCTCTCCACATAGGAGGGAGTTTCTCAATAATGGCAGCCACTTGGAATGATTTACTCAATTCCATTTTCTCTACATGGATGTCATGCAACAAGACTTGAATCTCTTGCACTTGGCTAATTACGATTTTGGAATCCACCATCTTGTAGTCCAAAAATTTGCCACCAATGAGCTTCTTTATTCTGACATCCTCGATCTTGTACTTTGTCTCCACAGAATCCCATAGTTCCTTAGCTAATTCCTTTGAACTATACACCCATATAGTGTATTATCCAATCCGTTTAGAATATAGTTCTTGGATAGGAAGTCCGAGTGTTTCTATGCATCCAGAGCAATAATCGATACATGATTATTTTTTCCTTCTTGTACAGTTGGTGCAATTTTCTTTAGAAATTTAGCCAAATTAAGGGTGGTTAGATAAAACGACATCTTTTGTTGTTACCCCTTGAAGTCTATTCCTGCAAATTTTTTCGACTTTTCCTCATGTGGGCTAGTAGTATTATGCAACGATATGACTATGGGTGGTACCACATTATTGGAACCATTTTGATTTGACGAAATCCCGATAGTAGTCATTTCTGTTACACAAACAGAAGTTCAACAAAATGATGATAATATCGGTGGAGGAATAGTACACAAAGCACTATTCAAACAAAATAATGGTTGTCCACAACCAACCACAAAGACACAAAAATTTGTCTTAAGATTGTTGGAGACGACTTATAAAAAGGGCTATGTAAGGGTTGATTTTTGATAAATTTGTTTGACCAGTTTTAACCCGCAAGAACGTGATCAAAACATAATTTATATGAATAAAAATTTGGACAGAGTTTTGGTATAATGATTACGCAAAACAAGGATTAAGAAGGAATAGAAATAGAGAATAATCCAAGGCGAGACGTTATCTATTTCCTTAAGACAAATTGCCCCGTTACAGTGCTCACGGTGAATGACACTTGTCTCCCAGGATACAATGACTTTACAACTTGTGATAGTAGCACTTCAAACCACAAGAAATCGATGAACTTTTGACAGAATTTCCCCTCTACAAAGGAAATATATGAAAATGCTATGGAATTAGAAAGGAGATAATTGTAAGAGGAGGATGAATGCTCAATGCAATTGGTGTATCCAAACCCTTGTCCATAGGTTCTATTTATAGATGTAGAAATGGTGCAAATAAAGTAGTGTGAGCCAAAATATGTATCCTTTCAAAAAAGTTGCAACACTTAGCCAAAACCCGCATCCTTTCGAAAAGTTACAACACTTCATTTCTTTCAACTTTGATCCTCAATTTCTCATTTATTTGGAATTGATTTCGAGATTCCAAATATACCACGACGATCTACACGATGAGTAGAATAAGTTGGTCTATTTACTTTTGTAATTTGACCATCGGATTAAGTTCGAATAGTTGGTCGAAATTGACACGTAGTCACCTTTTCATTTTCCACTTTTACACCTTTTCATTTTTCAATTTTTGGTTAATTATTTGAACCAATTCCTACACTTTCTGAGGTGTGATCAACCTTGACATGATCAATCCAATCTCATTTCCACAAATCAGGTACAACGGGCACTCAAAAATTCAAAAAAACTTGATTTATGGAGTTACCATTTCGATTATGAAGATGATGATATTGTTGTGATTCTCTGATCACGAGAAAAGAATAAAAGAGGAAAAACAATTTTATTTCTACTTGAATAGAATTTACAACGGGGTTTACAAACTAAAAAAAAAAAAAAAACCTCTCAAAAGAGTCTCTCTAATCCCTCTTTTTTTCTCTTCTATACACTCTATTTTTCTTTCTTTCAAATGATATTTCCCTCTCTCTTGGGACATCTCTAATTCTTTTTGTGATATCCCTTATTTATAGAGGAATTAGGCTACAAATCACCTTAATTTTATCGCCAGGATTCTGCCACTTAGGTGCTTAATGAACAGTCAAAATTTGTGAGTTGCCTTCTTCATGAAGTAATTAAAATTGTGGCTATGTTCATGCATTAAAGAAGGTTCTAGTTGTCAACCAATCAAGAATTGCAGTTAGAGAATTTCATTTCAAATTGTCTTCTTGCATAGGTGTTTCTTCTCCGTTAAGCAATTGAAGTTGTGGCTTATTTTCAATTACTTCAAAAGGAAGAAACTGATTAAAAAACTAGCTGGAATTACAGCTGGACTTATAAGATATCTTGGTACTTACGACTAAAGAAAGAACCCAAAAGGCAAAGTCTTCAACATATAAAGGTCAATACATAGTACAAGTAGAAAAAACATTAGAATTCCAGCATATATAGAGAAAGTGAAGCAAAATGTAAATTTTAGATTGTAAAGTGTGCAAACTTTTCATGGTAACCTGTGGAGAAAAATACAGGTTAAAGATGCAGCAATTGTTCCTTATATATACTTGTTTTTCTCTTCTTTGCTTTTCCATGCAATTATATACAGGTTCGAATCCTTTCAACAGCATTTCTCCTTTTAATTTTCAAACACAATAAATAAAATCTAAATATTATCTAATAATTATCCTGACCTTCAATAAAAGAAAATGTAGGCTGTGGCTCATATGGTAGAGTGATCACTTTGCATGTGAGAGGTATGGTGTTAAACTCCATGTACTCCCATTTTTCGGTTTAAATTTTTAATACAATAAATAATGACTAAACGATTATACATTATTAGATTTCATTTTCAAAATAATTTCTTTAAAAAATTTATTGACTCAAATTATTACTTCATAATATATATACTTTTATTGTTATGTTTTATCAATTTATTTTATAAAATTCAAATTTAGACAATTTAAGTGTTACTTTTCATTATTTTAAGAGTTTGAAAACATTTTTTCTTTTCAGATTAAAAATTATTATAATTCTAAAAATCATTATTTTCAAAATTTTGCATAACTTTTGCCTAAACTTAAAGCTTATCTTTACCGTTTAATAATGCTTTACATATAAACTTAATCTTATCTCGCTTAAATTCGTTTAAAAAAAAAAACCTAAAACTTGATCATGCATATATTATTAGCAAATGTATTTTTTTTCCTCATTGTTTTGGATTGTATTGAATTATATTTTTAGATGTATATGACTTTTACGTTCAAGTGTATTTATACATTGATTGAAAAAAATTTAATATTATTTGATTAAATATTAATAAACAATCTTACCAATGCAGCCGTCAAGAGTCAATGACCGCCCTAGCCGACTCAATATTCTGGATCCGCCATTGGTTGTGAGCAATCTTGACATGATCAATCCAATTTTTGTTTCCCCAAATCAGGTACAGCGGGCACTCAAAAGTTCCAAAAATTTTTGATTTATGGAAGTTACCATTTCGGATATGGAGATTATGATATCATGGAATAAAGAAAGAACCCAAAACGCAAACTCCTCAACATATAAACGAGCGGTCAATACACAGTACGAGTAGAAAAAACCATTAGAATTCCAGCATATATAGAGGTTTATGTAAAGCAATATGTAAATTTTAGATTGTAAAGTGTGCAAACTTTTAATGGTAAACTGTGGAGAAAAATATAGGTTAAAGATCATGCAGCAATTGTTCCCTCTATATACTTGCTTTTCTCTTCTTTGTGGTCGTGACTCATGAAAAAGAGGACGAATTAGAGCATCCAAAATAATTTCTTGTTCTCTTTGCGGTTTGAACATAGCAGAATATTGTGGGTGTGGTAAAATGGAGGTAACATTTTTCGATGATACTCAATGGTTTAGGTGAGCGAGAAATTTTATATAATTGTAACAATTATTCATAGAGTGGAATATTTCTATCTTCGGTGGTGTTTAATTTTCTGCATCTATTTTATTTTGTGGCTTTCTTAATATTTCTATGAATGAGGATCCCGTGGGCAAATCAAGGAGTAGGTCCTGTAATTATAATTCTTCTACCAGGACAATTTTTTATCTTGTCAAATTGTGGCTCTACTTCTGCGACTGATTATCTAATTAAACGACATCCCCAACGACGCCCTGTAAACTTAGACATCAACTGTTGAATCTATGTCATATTGTGAAATTACGCATCATTAAAATAAACACGATATATAAGAGAGAAACATTGTTTATGGTCAAAAGATTGCAAATCCCTCACTTTAGTCCTAGCCTTATTTCTAATCGATACTAAAAAAGTCACAACAGAACTAGAATACAAGGACAATCATTAAAAGATATCGATCGGTTAAACGATCATTATACGAATTACAAGAAATTCTGAAACTAGCCTGAAAGTTCAAACCTCATAAGCCCGTAAAGAAACGAGACGCGACAAACATTCTAAATTTAGGGATAATGAGGTATTATTTCAATTTTCAAGAGTCAAATGGCAAAGTTGCCAAACTTTTACATCCATTTGAGTAAATTAAGATAATGCACAGAGGCTGTTCTAATAGTACATTGATTGAATAAGTTAAGATTATGCACAGGTTGTTCTAATGGTACATTCTTTGAATTATAGCAAAATGAATCACCAAACCCCTTCTTTCGCCATCTTTAGAAAGTTGCAGAGAGTGATGTTAGGAAGATCGGCCACGCTAGCTTTCTTCTTGCATATCCTAGTCATCTTCAAGGAGTTGGGACACTCAAATTGGGTGAATGTCGTCGAAAGCAAATTATAGAACTGTCGGAAAGGCAATTTCGTTAGGCATTTGAAAAAATCAAAACCTTATCCACTATAACCATTTCAAAAACATTTATTTCCCACTTTGATCAATATAAAAGTTATCTACTTTTAAACCTACTTATAAGTCAACCTTTTAAGCTCAGATAACAAACTGAGAATGTTGGCAGAAATGATCAGTTGCTTTCCTTGGGGCTGGGGTTTAACATTGAAAAGCTGAATTAGAATATGTACCTCACAAACGCCATGAAGTAGTAACCGATGGAAAGGATCTTGAACTTGTAGCACAAGAACGTCTCCATCCCGACTTTCCCTGATGAACGATCGTACACGTTCCTGACAAAAGTGTTACCAATATTACTACGGAACAAACTGAGAGCAATTTACAAGGAAAACAAATTCATTATTTAACCAGATCATATTCATGCTTTCCCGACATTTATTTCATAATTGTGAGAAGCACTTTCTTGAAATAAATTTCAAGTACCTCATAGCTATTAATTAATTCTGAAAGAAAGGAACGACGAAGTGCATTTCTAGTTCTACAATCAACCCTATGCCATGCAGTCAGTACTGCAACTTTATCAGCATCTAGATGGCTTCTCTGCTCTCCAGACGAGTCTTCAAGGGACTCTATAATGGAATCCTAGCAAAATTAAACAAAGATCTGAGAGAACATAAGCATCCTCATGCCATATGCCAAATTCTGAAAGCAATGTAGATTCCTACACGTTAATTTTATATATCATACGACAAAATAAAGTTCTGAAAGACCAAAAAGCACTTATTAGTTCCTCAAGATAGGCATGTTTTAGCTTCTTTATCAACCATCTGCATCGACAAGAATTTTCCACTCAATTGAAAAATAAACTTTTCAAGAATCAATTTTGACTCTCTGTTAACCTTCATCAAAGTGAAGATGTCCATTTATAAACTAAACATTCTAAAGGAAATGCTGCAGTAGGGATGCAACAATGGGATGGTGAAATATCACAATCTATTATTAGCAGTTCGATAAAAAAATTCAGCTTTTAGCTTAAGTAAATTCAGAAAATAATTTTTTGACGGTATGGTGCTTTACTAAACAAGAAAGAGAGAACCTGCTTGTCCATGTCTATATTCCTGAACTTGTCCCACTCTCCGACATTTGTCATGCAAAATGGTGAAAGTGGCACATCACCACCTGTAAAACTAAAACAAATCAAATATGGATAGCTGACACAGAAAATTATAGAAAGCCCGACTGTTAAGGGCTATTCACTGGTGCAGATAGTTGTACAGGTACACACTCAAGTACACGAGAATAAGACTTTCATTTAAGATAAACAGCCGTCCATATTGTCATTCATATGATGGCTTATTGACTGAGTAATAAAAGAATTGTTCGCAATCCAAAAATTATATATTGGCTAAAAGATATCTAAAATGCTTTCCTTCTCAGTTTATTTTAAGAGAGTCTCAAACTCTGAAAGCGTAACTTTCTTTAGTTTACACAATATTAGAAGCCCCCTCTAAGCCTTGTGTTTTACTTTGATATGAAAAAAGTTAAGTCTGAAATTCGATCAAGTTCATAGTCTTTTCTAAAGTCATGAGTGTATTTCGACCATATCTTGTTTGTTTCGATATTTGAATGTGAGGCAGGGGAAATAATGTCTTTTTAAAACACAACTCACCCCATGGCGGTGGAGCAAACAATCCTCTGATTTCATCAGCATTCAAAGGGGGAACAAGCTCCATTAACAAACGATCATTTAGCCATCTACGAGATTTCCTGTTGCTGACCTGCAGCCAGAAATTTAAAATCAGAGCTACAATTAATTATTTTAAGGATGGAATGCTTGGTGGTTATGATAATTTCACATAGTCCGAAAGAAACTTGTTTTTGTAAGGGTAACAATATTTCAATAGAGGGGTAGATCAAATAATTTGGCCTCTTGCGGTTGCTAAGATCCAAATGGATCTTCCGACAAGGCTTGGGTTGATTTTGTTGTTGACTTAAAATTAGGCCCATTTGACTAGACTTTTAAAAAGTTAAAAGCTGCTTTCAAATCAACCATGCTATATGTACATCGTGGTTGAAATCAAAGTTTACACTCTTCCATATGACTACATCTACACCATTGAATTTGACCACAGCCATAACATCAATGTCTGGATTTCTTCCACACAGGAGGGGATGTCAAGGAGAATGTACAACTAGCATAATTCCTTTTGAATATGTATGGATAGTTTTTAAAAAGTGTTTCGTTTTGGCTAGAAATTTTTTTAGAAAGCTCCTTTACGATAAGTAATCATTTTTACAAAACAGAAAGTGCAACACAAGTCAATACAATCAATATTACGGATTTGACAGCTAACAGTCTTAAATCCTGGATTTTTTTTTTTTTTTTATCAAGCTCTTCTGAAAATAGAGAAAATTGGGAAATTACTTTTCCTGTCAAGCTCTCGAGAAATTCAATCTTTTTCTCAATCTCTGTTTCCTGTGGTTTAACATTTTTACCTGCAACCATTTTCTAGCTAGAATTCATTGGCTTTTACAAAAAATATTGGCATTAAAATAACCAAAACACCCTGAAAAATTAACAGCATAAAACACAAAACTGAACAGAAAATAGTGTAAAGAATAAAACAACATAGGCAGAAAGAATTACAGTGATCTACTAACATAAATCAATTGTTCCGAAAAGAAAATTTGAACCTTTGGAATTGTGAAATAGAGACGAGAACACAAGAAGATCTTGCTCTGTCTGCAAAATACCAGAATTTTCCATGCTCAATTGAGTAAATGTAGGTTTTTCTGTGGACTTTGAGTTCTGAGATTATAGAGAGAGAGGTGTGTTGGAAATCTGAAAATGAAGTTGGGAAGAAAACGACTATATAAACTGGAAAACGTGTAGGGCAAGGGAATATTCTATTTTGGAGGTACGACATCGTATCGTATGAGTTTAAGGTTACTTATAAACATCAATTATCTGAAGTAAATTGGGTCACGTTTTCGGATATTGGTTAACGAAAAGTCTAAAACAGGCTAGAAGCAATTTTTAATTAAGAGAACTGCACCTCGGTCCTTAAGATTTTCAAATGTGCAAATGATTCCTGAGACTCCCAATTTTTGGCACATTAAAAAATCCGTTAATGTAAAGTTTGAAATTTGATCATTTATAAGAATGGCAAAATCGAGATTCTACATTTTTTCTCATAAAAGCAATTAAACAACGATGACAATAAAATAAAATAAAATTCGAGCAACGATGGCTCCAAGTTTTTTTTCAACAATTGTGACTGGAATTTCGTGGTCAACATATGCAATTTCTCCTTCCCATTCACTGTATAACAATCTGAAAATCTATTAAAGTTGGAAGAGAAGCGCCACTAGATAGAACAGAAAGAAACAAAATAGTTCAAAAAATATATTTTTATTGTCATCGAACCCACTGTACCCTACCAAAGATCCACATGCCATGCGCCACTCAAGCACTGCTGCCACCATTGCCACCAAAATCGAGATGAAAGATTGGTCTTATATTACACATGGTTTGAGCGAAAACTCGAGAGATTTCTTCCTCTTTGGTTTTCACATCAACTAGAGGAGAGATCCTTCAACCTCATTTTTCCAAATCGCATTAGTTTATTTCCATTATGGTTTTGGTGGTAACAATGGCATGGTGGAACAAGTGGTGATTTTAGCTGGTGGGGGTGATGTGAAGAGGAGTGGTGGTGCGTTATGGAAAGGAGTGATAGTGGCAATGGGCAAAGGTGTGATTGCATTATGGAGGTGGTTAATTGTCATAGGATGAGCTTGAGAAATATGAAATGTTTTCCATTTTTAAGTTCTTTTAAGTGAGAAAAAAAGTAGAATTCTAGTTTTACCTTAAAATTTGTCAAATTCCAATCAAACTTTAAATTAACAAATTTCGGATGAACCGTCCAAATGTCCTTTAACTGCTTATTTTTCTCGAAGTTAGGGACTGTCAACTGTGCCACCAAAAATGGAAGGTTTGGGACTCATTTACACTTTTTTGAAAACATTAGAGACTCCAAGTACAATTTTCACTTTTAAATTTTATATATTTTAAATTACCTTTGACATTAACCTTGAGGAAAAATCTTTGTACTTTTTCAAAGGTTAGGACCTATATGCAATTTTTTCTAATAATGCTACTTATACATAAGTAACTACATAATGATTTACAGGTGTTAAAAAGAAAGTGGAGATTTTTTTTTTAAATTGGTTAAAGAAATTATGACTCAATCATATATCACCACATCATGTGTATATAAATTATTATGTAAGCGCCCCCCAGGGTACATCCAAGTTGGCGAAACAATCACATTGGGGGCTCTGAAACCAAGTGTGGGGAGTTCGATTTCTGGTGGGAACCTTTGATCCAATAAATGAGGAATTATTGGTGGATTAATCACCATGGAGGAGGCTTCCTTTGGGGAAGGAGTAAAAGTCATGTGAGAACCTGGGAACCAATAAGGGCACATCCTGCGATTTACCTCCCTGAGCAGCTGAGGGGCCGGAGGTTCAGAGACGAGGATATAGTCTGGCGCAAGCTGGGACACCTTGTTAAAAAAAAAAAAAAAAATTATTATGTAAGCATATTATGTAATTATAGCATGATCAATTAAAATTAATGCATAAGCCCCGTTTGGTACTTTTTTTTTCAAAATATATTTTTCTCTCTCTTCTTTTCAATCACGCATTCTTTATTAAAATAATATTACACGTAAATAAAAAAAATTTCATTATTTTTTAACCACATATTTTCCATCAATTTACTATTCAAAAATGTATTTTTACATAAAAATATTTTCCAAACACCCTCGTAATGTTCCTTTTCCTTTTTATTATGAAAGGACGAATTGTTAATTAAACACACAGGTTAAGGATGTCCGAGAACAATTAAAGATGTTTTGTTTCTATTTTATTTAAGGGGAAATTTTGGCTGTGTCTGCACTACAGTCGTACGTGCCTACGCCCTGAGCTTATAATAGCAGCAGTGTACCTCACTCACCCTTCCACTCCCACCCCGACCCCCACCCCCTTTCCATCTCCTTCTTCTTCATTTTTAATACCGTTCCGTGTAAATCAAAAACCCTAGAGAGATAAGCTGTTGGTAATAATTTCTCTTCTGTTCCTCCGTTTATTTTTACGAACTAACGCATGCAGAAAAACGTCTGTCTATTTTTTTATTTTATTTATTTTGTTTAAAAAGTTGGTTATCTATTGATATAAATAAATTTATGATTAAATTTGTTACTATTTTAATCCTTTGTGTATACTTTCTCTTTTTATTACTGTTTTAGGCGTGTCTTTAGGAGAGTTTTACTTCTACTAACGTGGATTTTTGTATAAACGTGAGTTAATGGTCGCTTCCAATCCTCCAGTGCCAAAATTGATAGATTACTGAATGTTGATATTTGAGTTTCACTACTCAATCAAATGAACGAGTATGGCAGTCAAATTAGCTTGTTTTATTTGATACTTTGTTTTAGAACATTGGTGGTCATGTGTGATTGAACACTATCGTCATAATTTGTTCCTGTAAGCAAAGTTCATAAGCAATGCTCATCTCTTCCCTGTTATTAATCACATGTTATAGGTAAACTTTGGATTTTTAGCTTATTGTTATCTATATCCCATTGTTTTGAAATTGAATTATCAATATGGATATGCCGAGTTCTACTAAATCTTCGTCATAAACTTTGGAAATATTTCGTTCATGCTTTTTGGTACTTTTATAATGAGATTCATTTGGAATCACTGGTGGTTGAGTGGTAGTGATTGTCTAGAGTTCTTTGTGTGTTTTCTGATTGTCTTAGAAATCCATATTCCCATAAATAATTGGCCATCCCAAGTTTGAAAATTTGTTTTTGCGATAATTCTGTCGAGCAGCATGGAAGAACAGGATTGTGAAGATGCTTTGCGGTTAGTGCCATTGACCTTTAGTGGGCTAACAAATGATGTTTCAATCATAGTCAGCAATGGTGATGCGTATCAGCATAGTATCGTTAAAGCTGGGAGTAGTGGGATTCATAATATCCCTGTCCCTATACCTCAATGGATAAACTGCCGAACTCCTCGAAATTATGTCGAATTTCTCGCAGAGAAAGGGTTCCCTGAAATCCAGAAAGGTGTATCCTATGACATTTCTGCAGAAGCATCTAATTTTGGAAATATCTATCCTTCTCAAGTGGTAAGTAGGCAGAACCATCTATACATGAAGCTCAAATGCTATTTATGAATTTGTGGACCCATGAGATGAGATTATATATTAGAAGTTGCAAATTCAAATGTCAATTCTTCCATATTTCCTGCAATAATTCCTGGATTATCTCATATCTAATGACATGGATGAAAAAGAAAACCACATTGACAAGGGATTTAATTTTATTCTCTGCTTCAACAGGAAGAATATTCAAGGCTGCAGGGTGAGTGGGCTCAGGTAATGGATTTCACAGGTGCTGAGCATCAGCTTGGTGTTCAGGTCAATTGTAATCATTGTTTGTTATGATATATAAATATTCATTCTGCAAGATTGTTTCATCCCAAAGTCATGCAATGTATACAAGTGTTTTGGATTTGTGATGATCACTTAACACCAATATCTTGCCATGATATCATGATATGCAGAAACAAGCTTGGAATGAAGAATATAGTAATGTTTCTCAAGCCAATTCAGGGTTGGGTGCTGCTGCAGCAAATTATTCTTCTGAAAATCGTCGTAAAATATCAAGACAGAGAGCTTATGCTTCTGATCGTGTAAGCATTAGTCGTTCAATTAATTGTAATGGGACAAAATTGAGGTCCTTAACACTGAGCTGCTAGCTGATGAAGTACCCTATTCCTTTCAGTGTCGCAGATTGAGGATTTCAGAGAGGATTGATGCGTTGCAGGAATTGCTGCCACATTCTAGAGAGGTAATTTAAGTGGATGTGTGGTGTAGCTTAAAAAAAAAAAAATCCTTACTGGAAAGCAAAATGTCTCCAAAGGTCCTTTCTTTCATTTTAAGTTAAATGATAGGTATGCTTTTGAGGTAAAAACTGTTCCCCTTGGATATATATCAACTTTCCAACTGTGGCTGACATGGTGCTTCCATTTGCTGAAATTGTTAGATTTTGACGTTTTCCTTTTAAGTTAGAAGTCCGGGACAGAATATCAAAGTGTTCTGCCTGCTGGGATTTGTGATAGACATGGTACTTCATTACATGGACATTGTCAGATTTTTAGTATCCCTTTAACTTAGACAAAATTTACCACAGATATGTCACTCGATTGAATATTAACTGGTTCTGCCAGCTGACACAAACAGTGAACTACAAAATACATTGTTCTGGTTTCATGTCAACCAATTTTGTCAAAATTAGTCATAATAAATAATCTTATAAAATTTAAGAGATCGTCTGAATTAAAAATGATTTGTGGGTTGTTGTGTTTCAGGGTGGTAAAGCATCTGTGCTGGATGATATCGTTGACCATATCAAATATTTGCAATTTCAAGTGAAGGTATTTTTTTTGGTCCACAGGATGTTCTTTGACTTGCATAAATTATGGAAAAGAGAACAGATGACAAGTTTTCCAAGATCAGATAGATTTTAGTTTCATGAATTTCTTTTTTGATGCATTAGTTTGTACTTGGAAAATCACTCTTTCACGTATCTTAACGTGAGTAAAATGATCTCTTGTATATCCTATATTTCAGTAGAATATAGCACGATGGATGTCAGAAAGCACCGACAAAGGGTTTATTCTATAACTAGATGTGTTGAAATTAGTTTAACTTAGAAGGCAGCAGGATTTGATGCTGCCAAAATTTGCTTATTGTAATGCTTTCTGCATTGACATGATCTGTTTATATGGCTATTCTGATGGTTTTCTAGCAATCTTGTAATTTTGAATCTTTATTCCTAGTCAATCACTAGGCTGATTTTTTTAGATATTTGATTGTGCAGGATTTGAGTCGAAGCAGACTGGGAAGTGAATCAACTTCTAGTCCTTTTATATTCCTCGAGGTACTAGAAATCGAGAATAAATAGTTAACCAGATTGCTTATAAGCCACTTCATTGCTCTAAAAGCAACTATTTTCTATGTACTCTGGCATCTTATAAGGATTTGTTATATTATTTCCTTTTTATAGGGATATGGCCATTACTTCATTCATGAGCAGATGATCCACGAGCCTCTTGAAGAGATGATGGGAAAGTTGTTTGAGGTCAATCCCTCAGCAGCCACCGAACTATTGCATAGCAGGGGACTTTATGTGATGCCCATGGCTTTTGCAGAAGGGTTCCACAAACCCGCATAGATTCTGCACGTCTAAGTCAGTTGTATGCTTTTATATTTACGATCTAATTTCAGCATCTTTTACCTGACATTACAGGTAAAGGTTTTGGATATATATGTGCAAACAAAATCAGAATCATGCCTCTTTCTTCATGTCTTTATATCCTACAAACTTACTAATATGTTTGGCTATACAAATAACTTTAGTTTGAATACAAATTGGTTGTTGGAAGATGTAATGCTTTGCATCTCAATTGTTTTAACTTTGTTCCCTTAACTTTCTGTATTGTTCCTGAAATCCATACATATTTTATATTTGGTTCATGAGCAGGGATGGCAATCGGGCTCGTTGGCTCGGGCCGCTCGTGGCTGAGCTCGGAAAAAGCTCAAGCCGGCTCGGCTCGAGGCTCGGAGCCTCCAAGCCTCATTTTTTAGAGTTGGCTTCAGCCGGGCCGGCCCGTATTATTTGAATAAAAAAAATAAAAAAAAAAGACAGGAGAAATCTTGGCAGCTAAACTGCCTTAACTAGCAACTTCATAAGGCAGCCATATCAAGCTGCCAATTGGCAGCAGGTCTGCTGCTGGTTAGGCAGCTAATCGGCAGCTAAAATAGCTACCACACAGGCAGCAAGAGGTATTAAAAAAAAAAAATAAAAAAAATCCAGAAATCGAGCTTGGCTCGGTAAAGCCCTAGCCAAAAGCTCAGGTCGAGCCTTAATTTTCAAGCTCGGCCCGGTTCGGGCCAAAAAAAGCCCACCTTCTCGAGCCGAGCTCGAGCCAAAAATTTTGGTTCGCAAGTCGGTTCAACTCGATTCGTTGACATCCCTATTCATGAGGATAATTACAATAGAATTCCTAGAGGTAACGGGAGGAGGTTGATTTCTTCTACAAAGTATATGTAGACGGAAGTTAAGTGAACAAACTTGAAATGAACTTTAAAAAGTTAAAACACACACACACACAATAAATCACAGGAGGTAACTTCTTCTCCCTGGTAAAAGTCAGACCATAACCCAACTCGACCCGCAGTGGAAAGTCACATTACATGATTCATCAACGATGACTGTGTAATTGTGCACAGGCCTACAAAGGAACGGATGCAAGTGCTCAAGCAGAACACAAACACGAACACTGTCAAGTTCTCTTAACCATCGGCAACAATTATGTTCACCACGTGCTTTCTCATGTCCGTCCCTCATGTGTCTGTGTCCATGCTTGTGCCGATGCCTACGACTTGAGCCATCGGACGGAGAAGACGATGTCAGATGGGTGGGTGGAGGGAGTGGAGTGAATGGCAGTGTTGCACAGGCATGATTTACTAATGCATATTGGGAAGCACACAGTGGATGAGGATTAATTGGCAATCGATGTGGCCTTGGCACCCACTTGCTTTCTGTCCCAGGATAGAGTACAAGTACAGCACAGAGTATAAATTTAAGGGGGATGTCTCTGTTAATGATTGTCCAATTTTCACTAAAAATGCCGTAAAAATAGAGTCAGCTACTAAATATTCTCTTCCTGCACCGTCTTGTATAACAGTTCGTTCATAAGCTTTACGTGTTGCATATTTAGGTCATTTTTAGGTTGCTGTAATGAACTAAAAAGAGAGAGATTAGGCCTCAAGTATCCATCATTCACTTTCTGTGAAGCAATCTTGTTTGGTCTATTTAGTTGTCCTCAAGTTTTGTATTGCAATACCACACTTATAAGAGGAACTGAAAGGCCTGACTAAATGCTTCTCCAAAAGATTCTTTAAACATGAAATACTTTCCATTTTAAAGAGTCAACTCTTAAAATCATGATCTGATGAACTCTTTAAATTTACAATTTAATTTAGAGAGTGGGTTTGACTGCATTCAAAGTGTTTTAATTTTCAATGTAGGAAAATAATAAAATAATTTAGAAAAAAAGTTAGTTAAAATAAAGATAGAAAAATAATAAATATTTTTTGAAAGTAGTAAAATTAAGTGTCAAATATAAAGAGTTTGATGGAATACTTTAAAATTTTAACTCTCTAAACTTATGCTCTCCAAATAATATATTATACTCTTTAAAAATTTCTAAAAGCACATATGACTATACTTCAAAAAAAAAAAAAAAAAAAAAAGAGAACAGATGACAAGTTTTCCAAGATCAGATAGATTTTAGTTTCATGAATTTCTTTTTTGATGCATTAGTTTGTACTTGGAAAATCACTCTTTCACGTATCTTAACGTGAGTAAAATGATCTCTTGTATATCCTATATTTCAGTAGAATATAGCACGATGGATGTCAGAAAGCACCGACAAAGGGTTTATTCTATAACTAGATGTGTTGAAATTAGTTTAACTTAGAAGGCAGCAGGATTTGATGCTGCCAAAATTTGCTTATTGTAATGCTTTCTGCATTGACATGATCTGTTTATATGGCTATTCTGATGGTTTTCTAGCAATCTTGTAATTTTGAATCTTTATTCCTAGTCAATCACTAGGCTGATTTTTTTAGATATTTGATTGTGCAGGATTTGAGTCGAAGCAGACTGGGAAGTGAATCAACTTCTAGTCCTTTTATATTCCTCGAGGTACTAGAAATCGAGAATAAATAGTTAACCAGATTGCTTATAAGCCACTTCATTGCTCTAAAAGCAACTATTTTCTATGTACTCTGGCATCTTATAAGGATTTGTTATATTATTTCCTTTTTATAGGGATATGGCCATTACTTCATTCATGAGCAGATGATCCACGAGCCTCTTGAAGAGATGATGGGAAAGTTGTTTGAGGTCAATCCCTCAGCAGCCACCGAACTATTGCATAGCAGGGGACTTTATGTGATGCCCATGGCTTTTGCAGAAGGGTTCCACAAACCCGCATAGATTCTGCACGTCTAAGTCAGTTGTATGCTTTTATATTTACGATCTAATTTCAGCATCTTTTACCTGACATTACAGGTAAAGGTTTTGGATATATATGTGCAAACAAAATCAGAATCATGCCTCTTTCTTCATGTCTTTATATCCTGCAAACTTACTAATATGTTTGGCTATACAAATAACTTTAGTTTGAATACAAATTGGTTGTTGGAAGATGTAATGCTTTGTATCTCAATTGTTTTAACTTTGTTCCCTTAACTTTCTGTATTGTTCCTGAAATCCATACATATTTTATATTTGGTTCATGAGCAGGGATGGCAATCGGGCTCGTTGGCTCGGGCCGCTCGTGGCTCAGCTCGGAAAAAGCTCAAGCCGGCTCGGCTCGAGGCTCGGAGCCTCCAAGCCTCATTTTTTAGAGTTGGCTTCAGTCGGGCCGGCCCGTATTATTTGAATAAAAAAAATAAAAAAAAAAGACAGGAGAAATCTTGGCAGCTAAACTGCCTTAACTAGCAACTTCATAAGGCAGCCATATCAAGCTGCCAATTGGCAGCAGGTCTGCTGCTGGTTAGGCAGCTAATCTGCAGCTAAAATAGCTACCACACAGGCAGCAAGAGGTATTAAAAAAAAAAAAAAAAAATCCAGAAATCGAGCTTGGCTCGGTAAAGCCCTAGCCAAAAGCTCAGGTCGAGCCTTAATTTTCAAGCTCGGCCCGGTTCGGGCCAAAAAAAGCCCACCTTAGAAAAGCTCGAGCCGAGCTCGAGCCAAAAATTTTGGTTCGCAAGTCGGTTCAACTCGATTCGTTGACATCCCTATTCATGAGGATAATTACAATAGAATTCCTAGAGGTAACGGGAGGAGGTTGATTTCTTCTACAAAGTATATGTAGACGGAAGTTAAGTGAACAAACTTGAAATGAACTTTAAAAAGTTAAAACACACACACACACAATAAATCACAGGAGGTAACTTCTTCTCCCTGGTAAAAGTCAGACCATAACCCAACTCGACCCGCAGTGGAAAGTCACATTACATGATTCATCAACGATGACTGTGTAATTGTGCACAGGCCTACAAAGGAACGGATGCAAGTGCTCAAGCAGAACACAAACACGAACACTGTCAAGTTCTCTTAACCATCGGCAACAATTATGTTCACCACGTGCTTTCTCATGTCCGTCCCTCATGTGTCTGTGTCCATGCTTGTGCCGATGCCTACGACTTGAGCCATCGGACGGAGAAGACGATGTCAGATGGGTGGGTGGAGGGAGTGGAGTGAATGGCAGTGTTGCACAGGCATGATTTACTAATGCATATTGGGAAGCACACAGTGGATGAGGATTAATTGGCAATCGATGTGGCCTTGGCACCCACTTGCTTTCTGTCCCAGGATAGAGTACAAGTACAGCACAGAGTATAAATTTAAGGGGGATGTCTCTGTTAATGATTGTCCAATTTTCACTAAAAATGCCGTAAAAATAGAGTCAGCTACTAAATATTCTCTTCCTGCACCGTCTTGTATAACAGTTCGTTCATAAGCTTTACGTGTTGCATATTTAGGTCATTTTTAGGTTGCTGTAATGAACTAAAAAGAGAGAGATTAGGCCTCAAGTATCCATCATTCACTTTCTGTGAAGCAATCTTGTTTGGTCTATTTAGTTGTCCTCAAGTTTTGTATTGCAATACCACACTTATAAGAGGAACTGAAAGGCCTGACTAAATGCTTCTCCAAAAAGTCAACAATTAATTTCAACAACAAATTTTATGGGTCCCACAGCTTTTTAATTATACATTTTATTAACTTATAGCAAAATTTGCTAAAAATCTGATTTTAATTCCCATCAAGTAGGGACTAAGTCATGCACTATGTACACCAACCTATTCTAGAAGAGGTGCATCAGCATGTGTTTTCAAATTCATTCCTTGTGAAATGCGATTTTAGTTCCAAGAGATAGATTAATATATATGTTATGAGCATAAATAATTTGATAAAATGCATATGTCACATTTTCCTTTGTTAGGGAACACTTTTTTCTTGAAATAAACCGAAAATATGTTGACACAATTAACTACATAACTCAATACTTCATATCAATTAAAGTGATATTTATGTCATTTTCAAGGATTTTATTGCTTAAATTTAATTAATATTTATTAACGGATTTCTTTGACCTTTACATTTCATGACCCCTCTACTTTTATTTTACTAAATTTCTGATCTATCTGTGTATTGGTGTCTATCTTATATATTTCAACGTACGATTGCATAAAAGTCAACTTTTAACAAACTAAATACCCAGGGGCGGAGCTAGGATTTTAATTCAGTGCGGAAAAAATTTTTCGACGTCGAATGTCGAGGTTTTGGTCATGAATTTAATGACGATAAAAAAAAAATAATAGTACAACAATACTAAAAACGACATAATTTATATATTACATTTGTTCCTTGCGAGTTTTAATACTCTATGCGAACCAGAACCACGACACCTCGACAGGGACGAATTCTCTCACTCACAGACAAATGGTTGGATGATTCAAATGAATGAATGGGTTTGGATCAATTGAATGTTGAGGGAATGGGTCTAATAGGACTTCTCTTTCTAAATTGAATAGGAAGTGGGTTAATTAAAAAAAAAAATTGCCCAAAATTCCAGTGCGGGCATCTGCCCGCACTGGACATGTTGTGGCTCCGCCCAAGTAAATATCCATTTTTTCATCAAAATGAGTTTTGTAATAGTGAATTTTTGAAAAATGCGTAATTAAAAAGTAGGAAAAAAAATTTGGGTTTACATTAAAAATATTTTACTATGAGAATATGTGGTTGAAAATGAGTTTTAAAATATCAAACCAGGGCCAAATATAGTACAATTCTTTGACCAGTTAAGTCCTGTAAGAGAACTAGAGAAGGGGCTGGACAACTCAGCTTGAGTCACCTTTGATGTGAGAATTCGTTAATTTTTCTTGAGAATGTGTTGGTAGTAAGGAAAAGGAAAGTACCAAGTATATGTACTTTTATCACATTTTTTCCTTGGGTTGGACTCCCTTTATATAAAGTGATTATGAGAAAAGTTAAAGTGCAAAAGAGATGATTATGAGCACGTGGAACAAGTGTCCTAGGATCTTTTGGATTTTCACGCTAGAATGAAGGAGAATGTGAAGATTTGATTAATGATCAGAGGCATTTTTTGGGGTAAATGTTGTTTAATACGATTATATAACAAAACACCCTTGCATGAATCTTTGATTGTGCTAAACTATACTGGTCACATTGGCAAAAAGAATACTTTCTATTTAAGTCGATTGAAAAAAAAAAATAAAAATAAATCTATAGACCTACACACAAATCGATGATGATGAAATGATATTTGTAGATAGTTATGAGATAACCTACTTTTAGTCAAAATAAGTCTTGCAAGTGTCATTAGCATGTAATATTCATTCTATTGACCCATGAGGTCAATTTGAACTAGCATCATAATTATATATTCTCAAGTTAGGATGTTAGATTGAACGGTGGAGTTGACCATCGTGGCAAAGGACGGAGACAGTGGATACAAACATGTTTGAGATAGAAAATCGAACAATACTAAATAATATTTAAAAAATAGACATAGAACTAAATTTTTTTCCGTTATCCGTTAAGACTATGTACCAAATACGTACAAAAATCACAAAAGACAGATAAAATTGAATTCTGTTTATAAATAAATATGAGGAGTATCCACTGCCTCCGTCCTTTGCCACGATGGTCAACTCCACCGTNAGCGTTTTTCTTATTAGTTATTTCATTTTATGCAGATTAGTAACATTTGTCATATAATTTTGAAAGTATTAAAAAGGAAAAAAAAAAAAATAATAATAATAATAAAATGAAGTTGAGTTCAAGTTTCAACTTTTGGGATTTTTAAATACGAACAACTAGTTAAAGTATGAATGTTATCCTGTGAAATGCTATCCTGAGATATTCGAATTATGCATACGGTATTTGAAAATTTTCTTGAATTGATGAAATGCTCTCTGCAGGCTCTTCCAATATATCTAGATAAGCTGTTTCACCCTGTAGTTGCCGTCATTCTCTCAGTGACTTTTGTTCTAGCTTTCGGTGAGGTACAGTTTTCATATATGGTTTTAACCATATGTGGTGTTATGTTAAACTGTGATTGACATCTTGTTTTAATTGTGGCTATTGGCGAATAGATCATCCCACAAGCAATATGTTCTAAATATGGGCTTGCTGTGAGTGCAAATTTCTTGTGGCTTGTGCGCATCTTGATGATAATTTGTTATCCTATTGCTTACCCTATTGGAAAGGTAAAGTTTACACAGAAAGTGGATTTTTTCGTTATTATATTGCCGATTGTGATATATAGGATGCTCTGATTTTTAGTTAGGTGCACTAAAGTCAACTGAGAGTTTAAAAATAAGATTTCCTGGAGATTATTTGTTGGAATGCTTGGAGTCTAATTATATTGTACACTTATCCCTCGACTGTAGATCAATCTAGTTTCTTACATTATAAATAGGAGACAGAGCGGCACGAGGAAAAATTAGTAATTCTCCTTATTCATTATAGCGAAAAATCTTTAGCGGTGAGCTATCGTAACATTTATATTGATGGTGAATCCCTATAAATATTAGTGTTTTTCTATTTTTTCGTCATTTCATTTCTGCTATCAGGATAGGGAATTAGGTTTTAATCCATCACATAACCAAGCTTGGATATTCTACTTCACGTGTTTCAGATTCTGGATTCCATCTTGGGCCACAATGATGCTTTGTTTAGGCGACCTCAGTTGAAAGCACTTGTTTCTATCCACAGCCAGGAGGTATTCCAGAGTTATAAGTGAATAGATATAAACATAATGCATGTTCACAGTTTATAAAACTGGGGCATATCTCGACAAGTGGAATATATATCTGGTGCTTATTTTATTTTGTTATATAATGCAATGTATTGTTCATCTTATATCATAGGCTGGGAAAGGAGGTGAACTCACTCATGATGAGACTACTATCATAAGTGGAGCATTAGATTTAACTGAAAAGGTAAGTGGGGTTGCAGAAATATCACGTGGCATAGTTTCTTTGCTTTATAACACACTCTTTAGCAATTTGGCCATCTCATTTGACCATGTATTAATGCCACTATGCACCGTTGGCGAGGAAGTTAAATAGAAATACTTTCTTTCATTATTTTCCCTCAAGGAAATAAGTTTTAAAATCAATAACCCATAATTTTACACTTTGATACGAGACATCTTCATTTATTAGCTTTACCTTAAATTGTTGTCCCTATGAGATTGTTTCAAATATGTGCAGACTGCAGAGGAGGCTATGACCCCTATTGAATCAACTTTCTCGCTAGATGTCAATTCAAAATTGGACTGGTGAGTTTGATGTTGAATTAGTTTCCGTGCTTCTCAAGTTATATTTATGCTGTGAGAATTACTTTTGAAAGGCTATTTATTTCATTTTCTGCCTTAGGTCAACATTCTTTGCTCATGTATTAGTAGAAATTTAAATTGTGTGGAGATATATAAAAATGTTTTTCTAATAAATGTCCTACTATTCAGGGAAGCAATTGGGAAAATCCTTGCTCGTGGACATAGTCGCATTCCTGTCTATTCAGGAAATCCAAAGAACATTATTGGACTTCTATTGGTCTGTGTGTAACTCCAGGAATTATTGAACATTCGTCAGTTTATCTGATTTTAGTAACTGAAGAATTTATTGTCAGTAATATCATTTGCCTTCTCTGGAAATAGGTAAAGAGTCTTCTTACTGTACGGGCAGAAACAGAGACCCCAGTTAGTGCTGTTTCAATCCGAAAAATCCCTAGGTTTGTTTGTCTCTTTAAAATGTTATCTTTTACTACCTTTCCTGTTTTTATTATTCCATCACATATTTTTCTCCTTTTCTATTTTAGGGTACCGGCAAATATGCCCTTGTATGATATTCTCAACGAGTTTCAGAAAGGAAGCAGTCACATGGCAGCTGTCGTGAAAGTGCGAGAGAAAGAGAAAATGCATAATTCTTCTGTTGATCCCGGGAAAATTGGAGAAAACAATTTTACCAATGGCCATTCGCAATTGACTATTCCGTTGCTGAACAAGCATGATGGTAAATTAAATAATGTTGTGATCAACATTGAGAAGGCGTCGAAAGATAGTTTGCAAGACAAGGATCTGTTGAAGGATATTGAAGATGGAGAAGTTATTGGCATTATCACTTTGGAAGATGTATTTGAAGAACTTCTTCAAGTAACCTCTTGTGTTTCATGTTATTCATATTTCCTATTACAACTGATTGATATTGCATCCAGTTGGGCCTATAAATTGTCTGTTATAACAAGCTTGGAACGTGTTTGGCTAAGCTGGTGAATAAGTAAAACTAACTTCCTCCTTTTTTTTTTTTGGGAATTTCATACAAGTTACTTTTTAGTTTCAAACATGCTTAAATATTTATTTTTCCTACTTTTAAGTGAAAGGAAAATGAAAAAAGAAAGGGGAGTTGCTTATTTTAAAAGTAACGCTCACAGTTTTGTTACGATAATTAACTTATTTCAGATGTAATCAATAAGAAGTTACTTATTTTAAACTTCACTAATTTACTTATAAACAAACTCTTTAAGCTTTAGCCAAATGTGCTCTTAATACCCTCTTCTAATCTGAGAACGTTCATTCTTCCCTCTCTCCCTTTTAAAGTTTTGACCGATTGCTGTCCATGGATACAGGAGGAAATTGTTGACGAGACAGATGTATATGTCGATGTACATAAAAGGTGTTGAGTACGAGCATTTCCTAATTATATTAGCACTCACTCTACCTGATTCATTTATTATTCTTACAAGATTATTTGTGATCATTGTAGAATACGTGTGGCTGCTACTGCTGCTGCTTCATATGTTGCTCGAGCACCTTCGAACCGTAGGCTGTCTGGTCAAAAGCCATCATCAGTAAGTTTTTCAGCATTTCCTCTATAGCCTTCTACTTCCCAGTGTCCCTCGTTAACCACAAACATTGCAAGAAAAAAGGCACTTCTATGTCTTAATGAGAAATCTACACATATAATGATTGGCTATGAGAAAAATGAAAAATGATTTTTTCTATGATCAAGGTTACCAGGTTCTTTTGCTTCTCGGAGAAAATGAAAAATATGAATTAGTAATATAATTGAAAAAGGGTAAAGTGCAATTCCATCCTCAGGTAATTTAGGAATTGCTGGTAAATAAGCTTGGTCTACCTTATCACAAGGTTTAAGCTTGCCCTATTTTGATTGAATATTATAATTATCGGTGACTTAATTTTATCAGAACATTTTCTGAAATACCCTAGACCATTTTAAGCCTTCTTATAAATCCACTTTCATCACAGTAAAACATATACCAAATTAAAAGCTTTTTACCATCATCTTAAAGTCGACGAGGTCACAAAAATAGAGTTCATGTGCAGAGAAAAATGTCTGGTTATAATCACCAGACTTTACTCGTACACGGAATGATTTGCTATTTGTTAATCTAGATATCTCTTACTTTGTAGAATAACTGCACTAGACCTTTCTATGAGCTTTTGAAATAGTAAAAGTGCATTGTGAAAGAAACTGACGACTTTGGATGTGCACGGGAAATGGAATTATTCTCTAGTTTCGATACTTGCAGTTCTAGAATTCTAGCGAAAGTATGCTGTATCCACAACAAGATTTACTTGTCTCTTATTTTGCATGTACTCTTGGCATTTTGACAGGGAGGCCAAAATAAGCAAGGACTAATACCAAAGAAGTTCAATATAACGTAACAAGACAATCAAACTAAAACATATTTTGGCTAGTATAGATGTGTTTCTGTAAGGCCTGTATAGTGACAATAATATAGATTTCCAGTGTATTTTGCCCTTTGGTGATCTATCAGCTGTAATTTCTTATCACTGTCTGTACGTGTTTCAAGAGGTTGTACATATGTATAATGGAGAAGCATCCCACTGCTAGTTTTGTTAACCTCGGGCGAGGAAGTATACTTTTGTGCATAACGAGCATTTACTGTATAGGATTTGTGCATATACATTTTACCGACGTGTGTCGGAATTTGAAAGTTGGTTTTTGTAGAAGATCCAGAGGGGTCTCTCTTACGGATTTCCATTTTCCTTCGTTAAAAATGCAAAACTAGAAGAAAATTTTTTCCCTCAAAACATTTTGCGTTTTCCTTAAAAACTTCAAAAACACAGGCTGTTGCCCAAAATTATACGAGGATTAACTCTATGAATGTTTTAAGTTTTAGAGTACCTCAATCTATCCTCTGTCGCTATCATATATGTGTAGCTTGGTGGCAGTACTGTTCGATACTGTGTATCAAAACAGGTTCATGGTCTATATTTGAAGGTCAATCATGCGAGCAGAGAAGCAGAACCGTACATCTCCATATGATATAAAGGCGTGCCCTATGCTCCTTGATATGCTTCGAACAACGTTGAGTCGACCGGAGTTTCGAACTTCTTCGAGATGAAATCGAGCTTGGTTTCATGTCGCACCCGCTGCAGTTGCAGTGTGTTATTGGGTTTATCAGAACGGAAATCTTTTGGCTATGGAATGAAGAATTCTGAACATTATTCGGATTTATATAAGGTATGGGCACAAAGTCAAGATATGGAGATGGGAGGGAATGTGCAGTGAAGGAGAAGTTGTTATTTGTCCCCTGATCCTACCCTACTGGAAAATGACTTGGTATCATCTGTTGACATGTTTGATACAATGAATTATGGAAAATTGATAAAATGATGAACAAACATCTCACGTGTCTTTTCAATCGTATCATTCTTATTAGTGCAGAACTGGTCATGAGGGCATCTCCATTGTGAACTCTAAATCATCGAACTGTACCGTTTATGGGTATAAAGTTACTCCAATGCAATATTATACTTTGTATCATTTTGAGTCAACACTATTCACTTTGCACTACACCAAAATGGTGCAAAGTGGTGAAAGTCTATTTTGCCATTTTCTTCTCCTTTTTCAAATAATTGATGAAGGGTTGTTGTGTCATTTGTGCTATATATTTTTTAATACTATAAATTATTATTATTATTATTACTTGCATTTAAAATATATTTAAAATGTAAAAATAATAATTAATAAATTAATTAAAAGAAGAAAAAATAATTAAAATATAATAAACACGATTATTTATTAAAATTAACACGAAATATATTAAACGACATACATACGATAATTTAATTTTATTTAAACAAAATGATATATATATGAATTCCGAGAATTAAATTGTAAAATTTTTGCGACTTCATAATATCGTAATATCCAAATTCGAAATGTATTATACTATTTTTTGATGGCCTGATTTAATATTTTTGTTGTTATAATATTTTTACTAATTGTACTATATATTTTTATTTTTATTAATGAATTTAATTGTTTCTGTAATTTAACGTAGTTATTTATTTAGTAATTTATGTATTTATAAAATAATTAAATAAATAATATTTCAAATAAATAAATTATAAAGAATAAAAAAAATGGAAGAAAATGGTTAAACACTGTTCAAGTGTAACTTTTGGTGTAATAGTTGGAGATAAATTTTAGTTTGGTATAAAATTTGGTGCGACGCTGGAGATATTCTGAGATTTCGAGCGTCAGATGTGAAATCTTAGAGAGTATCAAACAAAATTAAAAAAAAAAAAATCCTATTATAAAAGAAAGTTCTTCAAATTAAATAATTTAATATAATTATTTACTAATTATATATCTACATGCCCCTATGCAACATACACACTCTTAGAGACGGTCTACCCATCAGTTAGTTTTCTTGTGTCCCATTATTTTATTGTTGCCATAAAAATCTCGAAAGTGTTTAGACTGATGGAGTTTGATAAGATGAAGAAAGAAAATAAATCGAGATGTTCGTTTTTTGTTATATCTAATCCTATCTAATTCATCGTCCCAAATGTGTCAAGATAACATTCAACGCATGAATAACTTATATTTCGAAGTAACATCATTTTTACATTATAGTATACATAATAATGTACAGATAGATGATATGATAAAAAGAAGGATTAATCCTATCTAATTCATCGTCCCAAATGTGTCAAGATAACATTCAACGCATGAATAACTTATATTTCGAAGTAACATCATTTTTACATTATAGTATACATGTAGTGTACAGATAGATGATATGATAAAAAGAAGGATTACAATAATTAAGTTTCTTTTCTTTTCGTCTCTCTCTCTTTCATATCATCTATATATATGTTATTATATAATAATGTACAAATAGCATTATTTTACATCATGGTGTACATAATAGTGTACAGATAGATGATATGAAAGAAAGAAAGATTACAATAATTGAGTTTCTTTTCTTTTCGCCTCTTTCTCTCTTTCATTTCATCTATATGTATATTATTATATAATAATGTACAGATAGTATTATTCTTAAAGCAGACATAACTTGAATAAACGAAGTTCAGGTATAATTGTATAGAGCGCGTGACATCTGTCTCGGGCCATGGACCCGTACCATGAAGAGTCCAATATCAAGGGCCCATCCCCCACGTGCTCACCTGTCCTAATGTTGCATTTTAGAGCAACATTTGAAGGCTCCTAACCTTATCTGAATATGATATTTGGTCCATTTGAAGTACTATCATCAAGTAACATAATATGCGAACCCCACAATTGTACCTAGATGCAAATAATTTAGTCGTTGAAGAAAATTTGAAGGTAGCCATGGCAAAGAAACAGATTTTATCTCTAACAATTAGATACTGGATCGAATACCATAACATTATAAACAAGAAATCAACAGTAAGCATTTTTTGGCGAACATTTATCGAATGACAAGCAATATAACTCCATAAACCGCAAACAGAAATAGCGAGGAAAAAAATGAATTCTTCATAGAAAACAACAGTGGTTCACAAGAAAATGAATTCTTCAGCTCAAATCATTCTTATCTAGTTGGGAGGTAAGACTTCACAGTATAAAGGCAAGTTGTGAACAAAAGTGAAGCAGCAGAAGAAAATAGTGATTCAAATTTGAGAAATCATTCAACTGATTATGAGAACAAGTTATATTGTTACATATCCACACTTAAAAATCGACAGGGAGTAGTGAGCAGCTTAGGAGTTACATCTCCCTTTTACCTGCCTCGTATCTACTTTTCGTTTGGCAACTGTAAACAAAATGATAAATGCATATATACATTTGTTACACCCCTAACTGAAGCACCTCGGAAAGTCTACCACCACATCACGCGAGGTGTGGAACGCTCATCCGAAGTGACTTCACCAATGGAAACGATTTGCTATCACACTACGAGGCGTAGGTAATCCTGCAGGACTGACCGAAGTGCCCTCGCCCCCCTTGAATTCGAGGCGAAATTAACCCCGGGGACCTCGGCCAGAGGATCCGCCGCCGATTTAAGAATGAGATCTTTGTCAAAATCTTTTTTGCCCCTAAGGTTTAAAGTGATTTGACGTCTCCATGAGATTAGTTGATGTGACCTATCAACTTTATGTCAACTCAACTCGAAAGAAGTAACTACCCGCCCACTCTATAGACGCGGCTGACTGATGCCTATGAGCAGACGCCTCATACCGTTCAAATGTATACACGTGTCCCACATCCAATAGCTTTCCTCACCTATAAATATCCAAAGCTTGGCAAGAGGTATAGGTAATGAAACTCTTTCTATTTAGCACTCCATAGCAAGTAAACATATATTCCCCTCCCCACTATTTTGCACAACCTTGGTATTGTTTCAATCACCTGAGCCTAACTTGATCGTCGGAGTGTACACGACTGTCGTCACCCCCGCTGGTTCCGGCCGTGTGCATCTGACTGTGCGTTGATTGTGCTCAGGGAGGAATATGCGGAGTGACTATCAATTGGCCACGTGAATGGTCCAATTTTCGAGGTCAACAGATTGACGCCGTCTGTGGGAAACTTCCCATTCAAAGTTTTGCATTCTCCACCGGAGAAAACACCGAAAAACTAGTGACTTACCCTGAAAAGGGCACGTTCTTGAAAAAGAACAAAATCGAGTTATATCCCAAATTCTCATCACCCTTGAAAAAGGAGATAGAATGAATTCCAGCCATGAAGACGACAATCCCATGAGAGATGCCTCTGAAGAAGAGGTGCTTCATAACAATGTCACTCACCAGAGATCCCATCACCGGCGTTGCCGAGGTGCAAGAACAACCATGCTCACTGAAGGGATGGCTCAAATAGTAACGGGCATGAGAGACATCGCAGCTCAGAATATGACGATGATAAACTTCTCATGTAAGCCCAAAGTCATCAGGGCTATCAAATACCCCAAGGATCTTACCCAGTGCAGAAAGCCCCTGTATCTCGTTCCCGAGGTCATATGAGCCGGCACAGAGAACGCCCCCTCGAAAGAGAAGTGGGTGCAGAAGCCACATCCTATGTGCAAGGAAGCCAGCCAGCAGAACCATAGCTAGGGGACAATTTTCCTCAAGAATATGAGGAACAAAGGTCAGTAAGCGTCTTCGACCGAATAGGGTACGACCCTAGTAATAGGGCCCGCTCAGTGCGAAGATCAGTTCAGCAAGACCAGGAACAAGAACAGGCGCCTCCTCCTAGAAATAAGAGGGATAGAAGGAACCTAGTCGACTGGGGAAGCCGAGGAGAAGCACCTCAACCTCCCCAGGATATTCGAGATGATGAGAGTCAGATGGACCCTGTCGATCTTATGAAATCGATGATGATGATGATAATCTCCCTTTTTCAAGGAAGATCCGAAGCTTCCCAATGCCGGCGAACTTCATGCCCCCTAAGTTCCCTAAGTATGAAGGAAAGGGGGACCCGAAAAAGCACCTCACCAAGTACATAACGCAGATGAGCCTCAGGGGATCCTCGCCTGCTTCGAAATACAGAGCCTTCCACTTAACTCTGGGTGGAGCTGCCGAAGTGTGGTATAGCAGACTTCCTCCCCTGAGCATTAGGAGTTGGCCAAATTTGAAGAAGGCATTCTTAAACTAATACCTTTCACGCAGGGAATGAGAGGCCCCAGTGCAACGCCTGCAAGATATGAGGCAAGCCCCTGGAGAGACGCTGAAAAGCTATCTCGCCAGGTTTACAGACGAAATCACATACTGCGAACATGTTATTGATAGAGAAGCCCTTTCAGCTCTGAAAGGCGGCCTCAACATGGACACTTTGTTCTGAGGGGACGTGCGCAGCAAGAATCCTGCCACCTATGATGAACTGGTGGAAATGACGAGAGTAGAAGTCATCAGTAAGGAAATGATTGATCATCGAAATCGTGCTGCACAAGGACACCCTCCGCCTCAAAGGCAGGTAGGTCGAGGACCTGCAGCGCACCTTGTCACTCAGCAATGGACTCAAGCAGATCATACAATAACTCTTACCTCCGGACAGGCACTGGCTTCCGTCACATTGAATGCAGTGCCGGTATTGGCATACGATAATGCTCCTGGCGAAGCAGAACCATCCGGAAGAGCTGATAGTAAGAAGAAGAAGAAGCGATCAAACAGGCCCTTGGAAGGGGCAAGATTCTACACTTTCTACCTACTCTATGGGCATCAGTGGCGGATGTAGTATGTCGCCCTAGCTGGATTCGCGGGTGAGATTTTTTTTTTTTAAATAATAGACAAAAATTTTAGGTTATATAACTAGTAGTTCATTTTATTTTCAAACATCTCTTCAGCTTAGTTGGTTAGCGTTTCCTTTAATATATTGTGAGTCTTGGGTTCGATTCCTTCCCCTCCATTTCATTGTGCAAAATTTTTATTTCTACAATATTTATCAAAATTAATTTCCTAAGGAAAGGATTCAAACCTATAACTTTTAAAATTATGATAATTGGAAGCTTAACCATCATGGCAATGGTTGAATTTTGAATCTAAATTTAACAAAATAATATATGTTAAGACTTTAGGAGTTTTCTTTTTTCTTTTTTGGTTTTTGTCGTTTTAAATATTTTATGCTTC